ATATGGGGTGCTTTCGCACAATATCCTTTCGTCAAAGTCAATTTATATCAAACGTCCTTGAAGAAGACTCGCATGTCCGGTGAATCGGTTGAGAAATCTGACAGTGACCGGGCCGATGCCGACAGTTTCTCCCCATTCATCTTCAAATCGGATCACAACTTCTCCCTTCGCTCCATCATCAATGGCCACTTTGTTCGTCATACTCTCCAACAGGAAATGTCGCTGTTATTCTCTTTACTCTGACTAAATGACAAAGGCCAATGCTTGTATGGAGTGAAATAATTATGCAGTTTCTCAAATTCCCGTTATATAAAAAAATATAACGAGAAAATTTATTTTTGCTCTAAACACTGAAACTAAGGATGGGGATCGATAAGCATAGGTCAATAGGTGTCCCGTTATATTCGTTTTATTCCAGTCATTTGGGATTCATTGTTTCCCAGGGTTTTAATTAGCATCTAAAGTTTCACTCCTAAGCCTATTCATATTTGAAAACCTATAAAGCATTCATTATATTGGCCAAAGTAGATAATATACGGTCGAAAGTAAACATTGAAAGAAACATGTTCAATCCAAAAACTGACGAAGTTTCTGGAGGCGACAATCCTTCAACATTTCAAGTAAGCGTGACAGCGAATGGAAAGCGGGACATGGAGCGAATCCCAAAGAAGTGAGAATTTCCCATCTTCGACTTTCTGGCTTTGAGTTTGACCAGGACACATAATATTGTGATTCGTGTCATTTACGTGTATATGGGACTTCTAGGTGAAATCCCCTCCCCAATGAATTGAGCGTTTTGAAAATGTATCAAGATATTCTAGATTTTATCCTCCTCTCACGAATAAACCTTTAACAAATCTCTGCGTCTGGGTAATGTATTATTATCTTATTAGACTCCATACATTGCAGGACTTACATTGGAAGGGAAACAAGAATGACATGCTGCATCGAATCCTTCAAGAAAGTATAAGAAAAATAAACATTTAGGCTGCGATGTCATTATCAAGGAATGGTCACATTATGATATCTCTAGCCATCGAAATACATGAAGATGCATAGATCTTCAGGAATTGTTGAAAACCTAAAACTATTCCCCAACCACGCAATAGCCCCAGCAGACTGGCAATTCCATCACATCATGGCTCATCTATTCACATTCTGCAGGTTAATTGGGGTTCCACCAGAGGACTTCCCTCATCGCATGGATCAACAGGCCGTTTCGTGTTTACGTCGTACCGAGCAGCGCAGAGGAGGTTATCGAGCCGTAATTGCTCTCCCAATCGATTAAGGTTAAACATTGATGGTGCCATATGAACAAAGTAATGAATCCCGAGCCCGGGTTCCGCTTGCAGGCAGTTAGCAGTACTCAGTCCCCCCACTTTTCGGACTGATATAAATGCTGTCAGCGGAGAGGTAAGGGTCTCAGAAAGTCATCGCCTGTTTCATCGAAGCAGTGAAACTCGTTCGCTATCGATCTTTGTGTCGCCGACTTTCCTAGGTGACTGAACCTTGGACGTTTCTCCTCCTCTTAATTTCAGGTACTCATGTATTACTTCACCCTGCATCCGTTTCAACTTTAATACATTAAAGCAATGTGGCACGAGACAGGGCTCGGGTCCACATTCCTACGAGGAAAAGTGAATGCCAAATTAAGAGGTCATGTACGTCGAGTTCAGGGGAAGATTAACAAATACTCTACTTGATGTTTCAGGGAAACAGTTGACGACGAATCACCATCAGATTTCTCAACAAATTTGTAGGACAGGTGAGTGACATTCAAAATCTGCGTCTCTTGGAGGGCAATTTAGGCAATCTTCTTACCAAGGAGTTCAGTCTCGCACATAAGTTACGGCTACACGTTATCACATTGGGTTTCTTCAGTTAGAGCAATAGTCACCTACTCTCCAGATACTTAGGAATGCATGAAATCCTCATTCCGAAAGCAATACCACTGCCTGGCCTTTGTCCTGTTCCACTGTCAAAATCTGTCACGCAGAATTTGTCATCAGAGAACCTGTTTTTCATTCATCTAAAGAAGCCGAAATGCTTTTTCCATGCCGCCTTTGTCACATTCACCCCCTGAAAAATTACAACCTAAAACGACATGGTCGAGAAAGACCTCACTCGCTCGCAATTATCCGTTACGTTCCAAAAATTTTCAGCTCACTTGTAGAGTTCCATACACCTTTAACCCTTTCCGGTCCGTTTTATTCAGGTGGGCGGGGTAACAAGCGTCTTCAACCCGGTTGGACAAATGACCGAAAGGGGTTAATCAATCTAACAAACGAGAACGCGATGGGGCTTGCATGTTTCAGTATGAACTGCGACGAGTTTGGCTCAACGTTTATTTCAGCTGTCCAAATCCGGTTAGAATCTGTGTAACTCGTATTGTTGTGTTTTATTTTTCAAGTCATTCTCACAATGTGAAAAAAACCTTTATTTACTCTCCTAATCGTTCAACAACGAATGCATCGGTACAACCTGGATGCATTGAATCATCATAACTTATTAGGCGAACAAAGGATGAACGAAATATTGAGAGCAAATCCAAGTACCCTAATCGCCTCAGTATATAACTTTTTTCTCATTAGCACGCACCACGAGAACGTGATTGCAAAACCACCCGATGTGATATTTGTTTTCCCTCTCGACAAACATGCTCGCAATGGTCGACTTTATGCACTTGACATCTCAGAGAATTTGATTTCTTTTCCAAAATGACGCCATTCGCAGCTGAATTTATTATCATTGCATTAACAGAGTTCCATAGTTGAAAAACTAAATTTCGCTGTTAGGTGTTTCCCTTTTTCCTGCATCGTTTGTGGGTTGGTTTCGAATTTTGATATTTGATACTGCAGAATTCCGCTCAAAGAAAACAGATCCTCACAGTCCATTGCTATTGAATTTTGATTGATTGAATTGAATTTACAAAGGGCAAATAAACACACTGTTATCGACATAACAAAAAAAATTGGAATGAAACATGGAATGAAATATCATCCGCAAAAGTGTTATTTTCCGTTGCAGGTTTGCTTAATCCACCAAATTGAAGGTGGACTAAGCTAATTACATGACTTATATTAAAGTCAATGCCGACTCCGCTGTAGAAGGTAGCATTTTGAGGATGGGGATATCGCATTGGGTAATTCATCAGGGGCAAGTCAAGGCATGTCCCACTTGGATTCAAGTACAATCTTTTGTAGGTTCCATGATTTTCTCACGAAAATACACATGAGCGCATGTGTTCAATATTCTTTTGAGCAAGGCCCCAATTATTCTAATTGCAGGGGAATCGATATATTTATGCGCATTATAGCACTACGCGATATGATTCTCGGTGTATTGTTTATGTAAGAGGCCATGCAAACAAAGCATGACTGCGCTTCCAATGACACAGTCTCATAATTAATGCATGCTCCAAGAACGAATGCAAATATTGGAACTGTTGAAGCACTAGGGTCTTTGCGCACGCAAATCACCTCATGTCATGTTGGGTTTCCTTTTTCTCGCGCTTGGTTTTTTCTTCCAATATTCGTCTGCATGCTGACTTCGTTCTCGTGGCTCTTTTCCTCTAGGAATTCCTTCGCTACCATGAAGTACTGCAGGGCCAGAAATTTCTGCACGCGCAGTTGCTTTTGCAGAAGCAGNTTGGTTTTTTCTTCCAATATTCGTCTGCATGCTGACTTCGTTCTCGTGGCTCTTTTCCTCTAGGAATTCCTTCGCTACCATGAAGTACTGCAGGGCCAGAAATTTCTGCACGCGCAGTTGCTTTTGCAGAAGCAGAGAGAAAGACTACAAGAAGATTAGGAAGATTAAGATTAACAGACTCGTGTTCCATAAACACAATATGCTTCACGTCGCTCACTCCCTCATCCCTGAAATCTCCCAATTTCGCAAAGCATTACCACGCCCAGAAAATACCAATAGATGGGGAAATGAAGGATTAATAATCCACCCTAGATTTTTTAAAAGATAAATGTAGACATTAATTAGAATTATGCATGTAAAATGTAATCAAGGGGGAGGGGGTGGTGTTGCCCCCCCCCCCCCATCAACTCCGCCTCTCGCATGGGCACGCCCTTGGCCCCCGTATACCAAATTTCAATGGATTCCATTCGGGAACTGAATAAAGTACGATTATGAGTCATGCACGAATCAGCCCTACCGGAAGGACTCCTTGTGCATAGCGGGCGGACAATAAAGTTCCATTTTTGGATGCAGGAGAATACGCAATCAGAGGCGTCTTTTGTTATTATCCTCTTGAAGCTGCGGGCAGAAAGAACGCGACCTTCCATCGGCACGCCATCATGTCATTGAACGACGCTGCTCTCGGGCTTGCAGCTGCTAGTGGAACGCAGTGGATTGCGAGTGCACTGAACCGGTCGGCAAGAATGTGACGTCGTGGAATAGCCAGAAGCGTCAGAAGAGCCGACGGAGTCGCTTAGAAGGGGTGACGTACACAGAGACCTCGGGTCCTGAGGTTCAGCCACGAACGTTCCCGAATTTACCATGTTTCCATTCGCATATCACTGAACTCATATATGATTCATTCCCATTTCCACATCGGTTTCTCTCTCGCGGGCATCAAGGTCACGTGCCCCACTCTACTTCATGGTGACTTCGGGGGCGCAAAGCCCAGGTTTGGCTTACACCATCGGTATTATATCAATACATGTATGACGTTTCGTGCTCAAAGAACCTTCGATCCTGAGAAAGCAGAAGCCTAGACGTGGGAGAAAAGACCCGACTCCCCCTCGTGTCGATCTGTTGTCCCACCTGATGGAAGCTCGACACGCGAACGTCGAGACTCTGACTCAGCCCTGCATTCTGCGTCAGTAAATGTGATTTTTCGAGTTACAGTCGCAAGTCGATGAAAATGAGATCTGTACATTCCTAAGTTTCCCGGTTTTCAATCGATACCCGATCCTCTCGGATCCGATGAATGGAAAAGGAGGCGTTCCTGTACAAACTACGGCATTGATATTAAGTAGATGACCATGATGACGTCTGAATAGATTGAACATGTATCAGAGTGCATGGCAACATTTTCATATTTAGTCCTAATATTGTCTAGTTCTCTTTAAAAATAAGGCAACCTATAGTGGGTTATCGATTACATTCAGTTGCTCTCTACCAAGCCAATTCGACTTATTATCACGGGAGGAAGTCGAAGATGGGAAATTCTCGCTTCTTTGGGATTCGCTCCCTGTCCCGCTTTCCATTCACTGTCTCGCTTACTTGAAATGTTGAAGGATTGTCGCCTCCAGAAACTTCTTCAGTTTTTGGATTGAACATGTTTCTTTCAATGTTTACTTTCGACCGTATATTATCTACTTTGGCCAATATAATGAATGCTTTATGAGTTTTCAAATATGAATAGGCTTAGGAGTGAAACTTTAGAAGCTAATTAAAACCCTGGGAAACAATGAATCCCAAATGACTGGAATGAAACGAATATAACGGGACAACTATTGACCTATGCTTATCGATCCTCATCCTTAGTTTCAATGATTAGAGCAAAAATAAATTTTCTCGTTATTTTTTAATACAACGGGAATTTGAGAAACTGCATAATTATTTCACTCCATACAACCATTGGCCTTTGTCATTTAGTCAGAGTAAAGAGAATAACAGCGACATTTCCTGTTGTTGGAAAGTATGGCGAACAAAGTGGCCATTGATGATGGAGCGAAGGGAAAAGAAGTTGTGATCCGATTTGAAGATGAAGGGGGAGAAACTGTCGGCATCGGCCCGGTCACTGTCAGATTTCTCAACCGATTCACCGGACATGTGAGTCTTCTTCTAGGACGTTTGATATTAATTGACTTTGACGAAAGGATATTGTGCGAAAACACCCCATATTGGTGATTCTCTCTAAAAAAAAAATATATATATATAATAGGAATACTAATAGTTGTATGTCCCCAATCAGGCACTGGGTCGTACCGCATTTCCAGAATCTTCTCTATTCAGACGACTCTTCTGGCTTCTGATATTTCTCCTCGCTTTTGGCTACATGACCTATGGAATCATCGATATCATCAAATCATTCATTTCCAGCCCAAAAACTACTTCTACCCAGGTAAAACGATATTGACGGTTCTCTTTCGCTGCATTGCATTCGAGTGACGAAAAGTAAAATCACCAAAGGGCCTCTCATTTGCATCCAGATTGAGCCACAAGAGACTCTTCCCTTCCCAGTGATCAACATCTGTGTCCAAAAGCATGAAACTTACGATTTGCCTTTCGAGTTTTCTGGGATATTCGCCCCACTAGAAAAAATGCTTGTGTGGAGCGGTGATCTTCAGGAGGAGTTGATGCGACTATCAGAGATAAGTGACACAAACCAGAGAGGAAATACAACTTCAACTTCTCGCTCCGACGGTAATTACTCGACAGATGGGAACGAAACGCATGAGATCTGCAGCACACACGCAATTGCAGAGAAATGTACGTGGATGACTCACTTTTCTAATTTGGGAAACTGGATCTGCATTACTCAT